TCAGCGGTTCCCATCACAACGTTGCACCAGTTGCAAAAATTTCCACACAATTCCATAGCCAGGAGAATAATAAATTAATTACAATTAATAACATTTTTCAAAAAAATACAATTAATGCATGTTTTTTCACCATGAAATCATTCCCAGGTCACACATGCCACATTGTGGTATGTTGTCATTCAGTTAATACCATGTGCCATAATAATTTTTTCAGTCAGTTTGAATTATATAGGCAAGATTATCAGAGTCAAAAGAGAAATATGCAGATCAAGTGATAGCACATATATTTATATATATGTATATATAGTATTTCATTTTCATTAAAATGAGTTACATCCAAGTTGAAGTTGAGAAGATGACAAGAAGACAACCACAGCACCGAGAAAAAGAAAAAAGGGAAAATTAATGAAGGCCAATGAAAGTCTAAATAGTCTAATAATGGTTAACTCTTCAAAGATTTTTTTTTTCTCTCTTCAGTCATCTATAGGAGCTTCCTAAGACAAGTCTGATCACAGAAAATATGGCATATTCATGTCTTCCAAAGAAAATAAAAGTTTGCAACTAAAGTAGTAGTAAAAACAGAATCAGACAGGCAATGTACACTAGACATGCAGTTAGACAAGCTAGGACCTAGACAATGCGGCATGCTGGCTTGGTGACTCAGGGGTTCATGGGTATGGTTTTAGGATACCAGGTGTACTATGTGGTCCCAGAGAGCATCTATCATGCAAGCTTCTCTAACCTTACCTGGGTATCATCATCTTCAGGTACATGCCACTGGTCAACGGCAGTATATGTAATTTTGTTTTGGACTCAGTCTTAACCAATAAATGTAGGTTTTTTTTCATTTATTATTTAACAGCTTCCAAAACTCAGTTACATCCAGAGGCAAATTTTTGACATACTTAATGATAATAATTTAAAAAATAATAAAAGTTGGTTAAGTAAACTGCATATTAGAATGTGAAAATTGTGGGTAAATTCCCATGGGCCATAATACACAAAAATATAAAATTAAATAATATAATTAGCACTTATTCAAAAATAACAAAAGGTTTGAGCTTTTAATTTCTAAGCTCCTAAAACAAAGCATATTACCTCATTATGCATGCAGCATGAATGTGCAAGAAATATTACTTAATGTGATATTACTTCCTATATCTATGAAATTAGCAAAACCTACACATTTTTTACCATAATCAATATACTTTGCTTTCATATAATTTCTTCTTTTTTTTAACAGTTTGTTACTGACTCAGAATATTAGTTCAACAAATATCATTGGGTTTTACCTCTTCCTTATCATACTGCCAAATTTGCACTGGAGACTTTTAAAGCAATTTAAATCTTCAACCATTTTTCTTTCTTAGGATTCTATTTACATTTACACATAAACGAGTATTTTATATACATACTATATGATAATAATAATTTATATATAAATACATACATACATGTAAAAACATACATATATAGATATATATTTATAAATATACATATATACACATATAAGAATATATACATATATATACATATACATGTGCCTGTATGTGCATGTATACTTGTCCATGTGCATATGCGTGTATTTATATATATATACTTCTTATACATATGTATACATATGTGTGTGTGTGTGTGTGTGTGTGTGTGTGTGTGTGTGTGTGTGTGTGTGTGTGTGTGTGTGTGTGTGTGTGTGTATACATACACATACACATACACATACACATACACACACACACACACACACACACACACATGTGTATGTGTATGTGTATATGAGTATATGTATACATGTATACATGTATACATGTATACATGTATATATGTATGTATATATGTATATATGTATGTATATATGTATGTATATATGTATGTATATATGTATGTATATATGCATATATATATATATATATATATATATATATATATATATATATATATATATATATATATATATATATACATATACATGTGTGTGTGTGTATGTGCATATACATATATATGTATAACATATATGTATGTGTATATATGGATTATATATTTAATATATAATGTATATATGAATAAATGTATATGTATATATGTATATATAATCTTTTAAAATATGTATGTAAGTCTCTAAATATGTAAATATGTACATGTGTATATCTATATGTATATGGACATGTGAGTATATATATATGCATACTGATCCTTATTTATCTTTGTTTATTCATTCATTCATTTATATTCCTAATGACACACCCTCCCCTTCTTGACAGCATACTAACATTAAACATATTCTAAGTAATATGTCTTTGTGATGAATTCTGGAAGAAGCAAAAAATTCCCAGTGTCCCTTACAGATTTACGGACAGACATGCACAACATAATGCATAATAAATACATCACTTCATCTTAAGGAGGTATTCATTCAAGGGGTTCTGACAAGGCTTTCCATATTCAATGCAGCACTGTGCTCTTAAACATCACTTTCCCATTTTTCATCATTCGTTATTCCAGATTTAATAACATTCCAGACGCATATGACATACCTTACCCACACTTTTGCTGAGAATGTACACATCATGACTTGGCAACCTATATATCATATAAGAATTATAATGATGTTTGGGAAGATAGCAAAACTACTCTCTGCATATGCTTCTTAGATACATATCAGGATATCTTGTAGTGAAATCAAGTCAACTGGCAACTCTGGGATCTTGGTTTTCAAAAGTTGTTGGGTCATTCCTCTCTGCTCTGATATACAATTTATTCTATTAACAGAAAATTTCAGTCAAAAATTCTTGAAAATGTATTAACCCTTTTCTATGATAATCTTGTTTAGATGGCTCTAAAAGTGCTTTAACAACCAAAGTGTCAAGTATCAAGTTAAGTCTGCTTGTTTGATCTACAATTCAATCAACTAGCAACATTTTTTTGTAGAAAATTCTTGCAATTGTATTAAGCCATTAATGCTTTGTAATCACACCATACATTGCTGTTTCTTTTGTGAATCTTATTTGCACATAGATGGCTCCATAAGTGGTCAGCCACCAAAGAGCCAATTAATAAGCCAATGTGTCCTCAGCTGCATCCCCTTTCCTGAAGTTTACAAGAAGAAAGAAAAAGAAAAAAAGAAAAAAAGGTAAAAAAATAAGGAACAAAGAAAGGAAACAAGAAAAGAAAGAAGATAAAAAAACATGATTATATATATGTATATGTATATATGTATATGTATATATACATAAATATATATATATATATATATATATATATATATATATATATATATATATATATATATATATATATATTATATATATATATTATAAATATAATGTATTATATATACTATATATATATATATATATATATATATATATATATATATATATATATATATATATATATATATATATACATATTCTATACATATATTCTATACATATATTCTATACATATATATTATATATACATATTCTATACATATATTCTATACATATATTCTATACATATATTCTATACATATATTCTATACATATATTCTATACATATATTCTATACATATATTCTATACATATATTCTATACATATATTCTATACATATATTCTATACATATATTCTATACATATATTCTATACATATATTCTATACATATATTCTATACATATATTCTATACATATATTCTATACATATATTCTATACATATATTCTATACATATATTCTATACATATATTCTATACATATATTCTATACATATATTCTATACATATATTCTATACATATATTCTATACATATATTCTATACATATATTCTATACATATATTCTATACATATATTCTATACATATATTCTATACATATATTCTATACATATATTCTATACATATATTCTATACATATATTCTATACATATATTCTATACATATATTCTATACATATATTCTATACATATATTCTATACATATATTCTATACATATATTCTATACATATATTCTATACATATATTCTATACATATATTCTATACATATATTCTATACATATATTCTATACATATATTCTATACATATATTCTATACATATATTCTATACATATATTCTATACATATATTCTATACATATATTCTATACATATATTCTATACATATATTCTATACATATATTCTATACATATATTCTATACATATATTCTATACATATATTCTATACATATATTCTATACATATATTCTATACATATATTCTATACATATATTCTATACATATATTCTATACATATATTCTATACATATATTCTATACATATATTCTATACATATATTCTATACATATATTCTATACATATATTCTATACATATATTCTATACATATATTCTATACATATATTCTATACATATATTCTATACATATATTCTATACATATATTCTATACATATATTCTATACATATATTCTATACATATATTCTATACATATATTCTATACATATATTCTATACATATATTCTATACATATATTCTATACATATATTCTATACATATATTCTATACATATATTCTATACATATATTCTATACATATATTCTATACATATATTCTATACATATATTCTATACATATATTCTATACATATATTCTATACATATATTCTATACATATATTCTATACATATATTCTATACATATATTCTATACATATATTCTATACATATATTCTATACATATATTCTATACATATATTCTATACATATATTCTATACATATATTCTATACATATATTCTATACATATATTCTATACATATATTCTATACATATATTCTATACATATATTCTATACATATATTCTATACATATATTCTATACATATATTCTATACATATATTCTATACATATATTCTATACATATATTCTATACATATATTCTATACATATATTCTATACATATATTCTATACATATATTCTATACATATATTCTATACATATATTCTATACATATATTCTATACATATATTCTATACATATATTCTATACATATATTCTATACATATATTCTATACATATATTCTATACATATATTCTATACATATATTCTATACATATATTCTATACATATATTCTATACATATATTCTATACATATATTCTATACATATATTCTATACATATATTCTATACATATATTCTATACATATATTCTATACATATATTCTATACATATATTCTATACATATATTCTATACATATATTCTATACATATATTCTATACATATATTCTATACATATATTCTATACATATATTCTATACATATATTCTATACATATATTCTATACATATATTCTATACATATATTCTATACATATATTCTATACATATATTCTATACATATATTCTATACATATATTCTATACATATATTCTATACATATATTCTATACATATATTCTATACATATATTCTATACATATATTCTATACATATATTCTATACATATATTCTATACATATATTCTATACATATATTCTATACATATATTCTATACATATATTCTATACATATATTCTATACATATATTCTATACATATATTCTATACATATATTCTATACATATATTCTATACATATATTCTATACATATATTCTATACATATATTCTATACATATATTCTATACATATATTCTATACATATATTCTATACATATATTCTATACATATATTCTATACATATATTCTATACATATATTCTATACATATATTCTATACATATATTCTATACATATATTCTATACATATATTCTATACATATATTCTATACATATATTCTATACATATATTCTATACATATATTCTATACATATATTCTATACATATATTCTATACATATATTCTATACATATATTCTATACATATATTCTATACATATATTCTATACATATATTCTATACATATATTCTATACATATATTCTATACATATATTCTATACATATATTCTATACATATATTCTATACATATATTCTATACATATATTCTATACATATATTCTATACATATATTCTATACATATATTCTATACATATATTCTATACATATATTCTATACATATATTCTATACATATATTCTATACATATATTTATGTATATTCCTGTGCATAATACTTGGTCTTCTTTTGCAATTAATGTTATTCAATTAGATTTCTGCCATGAAACCTTAAAAAATCATCATCTTTACTTTTCATATCATATCACATCACATCACACACACACAGAAAAACATTTATTAAAATAGCTACAACAAAAATCTTGGCATCAATGGTCATGGCAATAGAATTTTTTTCTTTAGTTTTGAATGAATGACTATGGTAGTGAAGTAGGCCTAGTGATGCAATGGATCCAAATGCCAAAGTGGTTATTTTGAATAAAGCTAATCTGCTATTGATCACTATTTGCTCTTCTTTATGTCTTTGTCTTTTTAATATTCAAAGAGACACTCTGGGAGTGTTTGTGACCTCCATGTCATGTGATTTAGGGTCACTAACAAAGGCAAAGGTCACTAAGGGTTTTCTCAAGTGGTCTTTCTTATGAGTTTATTTTTTAATTCTTCACTTAAAAAAGCACTTGATGGAAGATTATAGATCTATTAGTAAGACAGTTCACACTTTGATTTGTCATCCATATTACATGGCATACAATGCAATGATATTCCCTGTTCTACCATGGAAAGATGTAAAGTCTATTCTTCACTATTTTTTATTTATTTTTATTTTTATTTCTTATCTGTCTGGCTTTATTTGTGACAATCATGATTTTACTTGACTGATCCAGCTCTGCTCCAAATTGTATCTTAAATATCCTCCACTCATTATATTTTGAGAAATGTATTTAATCTTTATAATAAGAAATCATTTCAAAGGTTAGTTACAACCTTTGTGTGATAAGCATCCTCTGCCCACACATATACATACACACCTATACCCTTTACAGTTTATATCATATGCTTTGTATATTTTACAATTCTCATAATTCTGGATTATGCAGTAAAAAGACAAGTTTTTGAAAGTCAAGCATGGTTTTTGCTTTAACAACTGCCTCTCGGATATCATTTATACTATTTTGCAAACTTTCACAGATGTTTAATATATTAGCAACTGTCAGCTTACACAAGTTCTCTGATCATCATCAGCTTATCATCATCTTTCTGGCAGGAAATACAAGTCATTTGTTTCCATTCAAGAAACAGACCAGTTGCTATTCTTACATAAACTTGATTATTTTATTCACTTTCAACTGTATGCTGTAGATTATAGAAGGGACTTCCTTGAACTTTTTGTATATGTAAAACATAATAAAGAAATATGGAATTCAGTTCACAAAGGAAATAATCTCCAATTCAATGATATTGTTTAGTGCTTCTGTTCATCAAAATCTGACCAAGTTTCATGACCTTCCCATACATCATGATTATAAATACGTGCAAATGTCTCCAGTTACCAGAATCTTTCATTATCCCAAAAGATACAAGTTGAGTTAGCCAAGGTATTCAGTACTGAAGAATCACAAATTCTGTTGCCTAATTATTCAATTGAAAAAGACAAAGAAAAGAAAATGCAAATGTTTATAGTCTTATTCTTTCTTCTATCTTTAATTATAAGTATTTCAGACGTGACTTCTTACAACTCATAAATCCTAACGTTGCACAAATCCTCTTTTCATCAGCACTGCAGCACTGACATCAACAGAAGTGCAGCTTACTTACAAGACTTTCAGGGAAGGTCCTGATTTTATAAAGATATTGTATCATTCTCATTTCCTCTCCAGTGATGCATCTTTTTTTAAACATTTTCACGAGATTGCTACATTCTGTCAATGAGATAACAAAACACAAAAAGTAAACATAAAAAACAAAACAAAACAAAACAAAAAAAAGGCATTAAGAAATAAACTTTCCTAGTGCCCACCAAGCTCCCACATCAACAAAGCCCCTTACCAGAAGCCTGTGTGTAGAGGGACAGGTTATCATCGTCAAAGTCATCAAGGCTTGCGCTCAGACGTGACGAACGCCCTGCAACAATCAAGTCTGGATTTGGCTGTACAGGAACCTTATTTGCAATAAAAATTTAATTCCTTTCTTTGACTTTATTTTTCTTATCATCATTATTATTTTTTTTTATTTCATCATCCTTCCATCATCCTTTCTGTTCTAACCACAATAAATTTATCGTAATCACCTACATAGTACTTTCTTCACATTTAGTGCTATCAATAAAAATTTAATACTTAATGATGCTCAATGGGAAGATAATGCTACACTGACAATACTGTATGAATTTGCTATTTTTTGGTGTGCTGTATTAAACATACCTTTATGAAAGAGTTATGTAATATAAAATATAAAATGTAATATAAAAGGGTAAAGCTCAATTAACAATGTTCAGTTTCAAAATACATCAATTTTCATAATATTTCAAGTTAACAGGTCACTGAAGGTTCTGGATGCAATGGTTTAAAAAAAAGTATCTATAATTTTTGCTGATTAAACAGAGTGTAATTCTTCAAATCAAATATGGAAATTATTCCTAAATAATCTTTCAAAGAACAAAACAAAACAAAATAAGAAATAATAACCGAAAGACAAGGGTAAATAGAAAGAAAATAAAGACTTCAAAATGTATGAACTAATACAGATATATTAAAGATTCATATAAGAATACAGCACAGCAAGAGTACAACAAACAGACTTTAAAACTGAAGAACTGGACTATCATTACTTGCAGAAATAGCAGACTCTCCCATGAATGGCCATCAATATCATGAATTAGAAGGCACTAGAGGTAAAGGAAGTATCAAAGTACTATGAATGAATTGGCAATAATTGTTCATAAAGCAATATGTCGCATTCAGAAGGCACTAATTGTATTTACCTATTTCTACCACTTTCTAATTTTGTTTATTTAATAATTTATCCATTCATTTTTGTATTTATAGATTCCTGTGCACTCAAAGCTGACTGCAAACTACATATATATATAAATATATAAGCTTGGCTGCACACAAGCACACACTACAATAAAGACTAACTAAAAGAAGAAGAAAAAAAAAAAAAAAAATGGATATAAAATGCTTTGATCTCAAAATAAGAATGTACAAATCTAACTATATTCTCAATACATAAAAAAAACACTATAGAAGCAAACAGCTTATTAAGGTGCTTATAACTGGTGACTACTAGACGCATGCACTACCAGAGAAGACAAATTTGCATATATAAAAATAATATATATATGAATGAATGAAAAAAGAGAAAATATTATTTGTCCTTCTCTTCACATAAATCTCAAGTGAAAAATTAGTGTGCAGGGAGGGGGGGGGAGGAAAAAAAAAAAGTTATACAAATGTCTCCGTCCACAGGAATGTCTCAGAAGATGACACTCGTACTTCCATCATTCAACAAATGATCTTCAAAGTTCATATTTTTATTATATTCTTTTTAATGGGAATACAGGTGCACAAAAATTTGTTTAAACTTCAGATCTCTTTTCATTTTCAGACATGATATATTCAAGAAGACTAGTCTCCAAGCTTTTGATTGGAAGACTAGTAATATATAAATAACATAGAAATAAAAAGTGTGAATGCATACACCTACCAACCTATACACACACACAGCACACACGCGCACACACACGCACACACACACACGCACACATGCGCACACACACACACACACACACACACACACACACACACACACACGCGCACACACACGCACACACACACATGCACACACACACACACTGATCAGCGTGTATCTTCACAAACAAACTTAATCACAGATTCAGTACTCAATCACTTGGTCAATCACACTTATATTCATTCCATTTCCGACTTACTCACTCAGTCACTCAGTCACTGACTTGCTAACACTCTCAACTACATGCGTATATACATTATATACAAGAAAAACACTTATGTTTTCCAAATAATCTGGTACTAAAATACACTTTCATTTCATGTTTCA